ACGCACGCACGCACGCACGCACGCCAATGCATGGAGGATTCATGTACACAGAAGGTCATGCGGCCGGCAACCGGTCAAGGCCCCTTAACTATTAACTCGCATAAATATTCTGGGAGGTCGAGTTCAGGTCCGCAGGCTTGAAGCAGCTTAAGTACGTAGAGCTCTACATATGCAATAACGACGACAGAAAGCATGAGCTGAGCGGATGGATCGCAAACGCAGAGACCCACTCATTCAATGGCTCAGTGGGATCACCGCGCCCTTCACACCCATGAGCAGCCTATGTCGACCGTCATCTGTGGCGGCGCCGGCGGCACTGGCTTTTCCACCTTGTCAGCCTGTGGTCGCAGCTAAGCGACTCTGTCGCTGGCACAAGCGATCATCCTGCTTTGCTCCGTCTCTCTGGCCCTTTCCGGCCAGGCCTAGCCCTCCTTCCTTCCTTGAAGGCCGTGCTATGGCAGATAAGCTATCACCTGCTTCAGTACGACACCGCACTACTACCAAGCAAACGCTGGCCAGCCCCCAAACAACATGTCATGTGTTTATGCATCGGCACGCGATCGTGCCTGCATCATACCCGCGAATTACTTTCACACGCGAGGGGCTCTTGATCCTGAAGCTGGCCTGAACTGGCTCGCTGGAAGGCGGCGGCGCTTCATGCAAGAAGGACCTGGCTTCGAAAGATAAGAACAGCCAATTGCTTCGCGTCCACAGATTTGACTTGGACATCCATTATGTAAGTGAGTCCTGCTTGGTATCCCAGAGTGATAGATGCCGCAACCGGGGCCGTCAAGGCTCATCTGTAGGGTAGGATTGAGAATCTGCAGCAGCCGAGCTGAAAGCTGCAAGCCTACCATACAATGGAAGAGGTGCAGATACGTACGCTCTTCGAAGACGGAGTTGCGTACACGGTGGCAACTCAAACCACATCAGGTTGACGCACATCACATTTTCCATGGTAGTCAGTCCGGTGCAATCCGCTTACAGCTTCTGTAAGCGAGCATCGAGCCCCTGACCACTCACCTCTGTGTGTTTTTGACAGGATGAGGAGATGACGCATCTCGGAATATCTCGGATCCAGCAGTCCTGACCTCCTCCGATGCTCGGTGCCAATGCTCTCCAGCAGCGACAGATCGACCATCTTGCGGGCTACCACGTCCAGTTCCTGACTCGAAGATAGCTATGAGAATAGCGCTTTGATTGAAGCAATATGATTTCCGTGATTCAGAGCTCTGGGAAAAGCAGTCATTTATCATAGTTGTATAACTGTTATAATGTCGTCTGGGAAGGGCAAGTGCGGCAAGCGCGCTCCCTGTGCATGAAATCATTTGCTCGGCTCCTCACCTTTCCCAAACAAATCGAAAGATTCCCCCTAACAGGAATCAAACTCGAACTGTCGCCAGTTTTTTCCCACCCGCCCGGCTGACAATGTCGCACCGCCGACAGTTGAGAAGAGGGGCACTGTGCTTCCGGCGCCGTACCGCGGTGCGGTCTCGCTTGCGTCGCTGGGGGGAGCCGAAGCCACCTGAGTGGAGATCGCTCATTATGCACGAATTGACATGGGTGTCCAGATTGAGTCTGCAGGCGAAACAACAGACAACACGCGCACTGCGACGACAAGAAGTCACCGTAACAAGCCAGGAGTCGCGGGCGCCGCTGCGGCTTGGCCTGCAGCATGAGCTAAATTACCAGTACAGTCCAAAAGGCTCGTCCTTCTCAACGACACTACTGAGACCATCGCAGAGTTAAAGTGTCAGTTCAATAAGAGCAGTCCATTCATCTGCAAACGACACCCAAGGACACTCTGAAATGGCCGCATGGTTGACAAGTGTCATTGACCCATTCGCAGTACGAACTCTACCTCGTGGCTGCAGACAGGATTCCGCTCCAAGTCAAAAGGTATGGCAACATTGCCTCCCTAATTAAATGAGTGTTTGTATCTGTCTTATCCACACCCCTGAAACTCACCTCTCTTCCTTTCAGCGGGCTTAGGGATTGCGATACCACCCCCACGTCCACCTGCTCCCCTCTCTTTGCCTCACTGTCTCTGTATCTACATAGCCGAGCTAGAGCACCTCCGGAGAAAGGAGGTATGAAACGCATGCAGACACGATAAAGTTAAATAGTCCTACCGGTTACAACTCCAGTACCGCGCGTGCGAAGCCGTGTGCCTTTGCTTTGTCCTGGCTGGAGATGCTCTCTGTCGAGGCATCAGCCGACAACGAGTGCGTCGTATCACCAGATCGATGCCCTCAGGGCTGGGATTGAAGGCATGCATGCTCCAAGTATTCATTGCGACCCTGGGACTTCGGGGTGCGCAGTAGCATTGCCTACAAGTTCCTTTTATGCCCGCCTAAGCGGGAGCCCTTCACTCCTCGCAGTCTAGAATTCTAGGTTTAGTTTTGAAATCACGTGTAGACTCCCATGCCAGCCAGCTATGAGAGCGTCTTGTTGGAGTGTTTGTGTGTTGGTAGAATCTTTCAATGGTTAGTCTTCCGACCAAGACCAAGACTTCCGGTATACACCCTTCAGCGAACAACTCTGGAGCTGCACTTGAGCACCCAATTTGCGTACACTTGACACGCAAGTGATCATTCTGAAATCGGCCCAAAACCATACAACAAGCCTGCCGGGCCTTTTGTCCCGGTGGGCTCTTTGCCGGGCATCCTTAGCTGTTCTTGGATTCTTTTGCAAGGGCCTGGAATGCTGAGATGCCGACAATCTTGCGGCCACGACACCATCATCGATTCTTTGCCATGCTATACGCAGATACATAAACAAATGGAAATGTGCACACATGAGTAGAATATAAGCCGGCCATCGAATGGATACAAGGGACGATAGATAGCAGAAGAGCGAGCAATAGAGAGGGAGAGAGAGAGAGAGCGAGAGAGCAACTCAACTGTGTCTAGAACATAATGGGCACGGCGTCTTCGAAAAAGGAAAGGAAACGAATCCAAGGTATGCTGTCAAGTTGACTACTGGTTTGGCGACTCGAAAAACCTATGGTAGCACAGAGAATCAATATGCCGGGACTCCCACCTGGAGTGGGGAGGAGGTCTTCTATCCATGCACGCACAGGGATGTATCTTTCTGGGCCGCGGAAGTCTGGAGCAGCTGGTGCTACCTATATGTGATTCAACATTCGTCTTAAGCAGGATTGGGCACGTAGATGATGCAAGTCTAGACTACAGGCGAGCTTCAACATGTTTGCGGTTGCCGGGACTCAAACGTCCCTTTCCGGGAGATTGCCTCCTGGCGACCCACAGTGAGATCTCCATCGGACGTGGACGACTATCGATGACACGACGCAAGAACTTACGCAGAATGTTAGCTCGGTTCTGTCTGTATTTGTGGTTGAGGCAGGGAAAAATCCAAGATGCATTCCTCCCCTACATTGATCCGGCGAAGGCTCTCGAAGACCAGCGTTTGCATCGACAAGGCAGGCCTTGCAATCTTTCCCGGCAGCAGGGTGCTAAGATTGCATGCGCAATAGCTATCTACCTATATCTGTCCGTCTGTCCATCTGTCTCCCTGCCTATCTGTCTAGCTACCTATCCATCTATCTATATATTTAGCTAGCTATCTAGCCATCTATCTACCATCTACCTATCTATCTACGCCTCTGTCTAATCTAATCTACTAGTTAGTGTAGTCTAATTCAACCTATCTATCTATCTACCTATCTATGTACCTACCGGTGTAACTATGCATCTATGCTTATCTGTCTGTCTGTTTGTCTATCTGAGTAGCTGTCTATCTGTCTAAGTCTATCTAGCTATCCATCTAATTACCGTGAATGCGTGATTGGGTCTGTGTCTGCATGTATGTATATATCCGCATGCATATAAGCATGTCTGAATGTATGTGTGGATGTATGCATGTTTGCATGTACCCGTGCATGCTCGTATGCAAGCATGGGTGAATGCAAGGATGCATGCAAGAATGCATGCGTGGTAGTATGTAGATATGCATGCAGATACTTGGAAACACAGAAAGATAGATACAGAGATAGAAACATGTATTGTAGTTACACAGATAGGTAGGCAGATAGATAGAAAGGTAGGTAGATAGAAAGATACAAAGGTAGATAGACAGATAGATGGATAGATACGAAGATTAAGACATGGACAGGTACATAGATAGATACATCGATAGATTGTCAGGCAGCTAGGTAGTTAGATAGACGGCTAGATGGCTAGATAGATAGATGGATAGATAGACAGACAAACAGATACATAGACACAAGGCTGGATAGACAGATCGATAGATAGATAGCACGATCGATAGATAGACAGACCAATAGCTAGGCAGGCAGTCAGGTAGGTAGGCAGGCTGATCGATGGATGGGTGGTTGTATGGTCCGATAGTCAAAAGCAAAGACGTAGATGTTGTTGGTCGTTCTTGTATGAAACAGCCATCGCTTGATTAATTCTTGCTTGAGCTCGTATGCCTAGGTACGCGTAGGGGTCTTTATGCGTATGCACACCAACAGGCCACAGCTGGAGAGGTGCATGATCCCTTCGAGACAAGACAAGAGCTAGAGTCTAGAGACCAGGTGCATGCTGCTGCCTATCTGTCTACGTCTCTCTCTCTCTCTCTCTTGCTTGCTTGCTTGCTTGCTCCAGAACTAGGACAGGAGCGCGCCCCCTCTCTCTCTCTCTCTCTCTCTCTCTTCGCTTCCACCTTTTACAGTATCTGTCTCCATTAAGTGTATGTTTATGTAGCATGACTTGCGGCTGTGCATGCGTGGGCGAAAAGGGAGATCGATAGAGCAAGCGCACTTACATCGGAATTACTTCTTGCACATCTGTCCATGGCTCGTCCACAGCTTGAATATGTCATGTCTGTCGCGACGTGAAAACATGCTAGGGGGAGAAGACAAGCACGTCTATGAAACTGCAGGCGTGTAGAAGCTGATGTGTCGGCAGCGTGGGCGACAAAGCGAGACCAAGAAAAACACACAAGACACCGGAAGCTCCAGACAATCGACCTCTGCATCTGAATGCTCTCATGTGCGTTCGTAACGAGATACGGTTGTCGCTTTGCTGGCCGCGATGTGATGGCGTAGATCTCCTGGAGCAGCAGGCGTCAGCTGCACTGGAAGCCACGGAAGAGTGAAGAACCCCTAAAGCACACCGGGCTTCTGTCAATGCGCAGCATCTTTAGCAAAAGGCTTTGTTGACGGCTTCTTACAACTGTCAAGGTCGAGGACAACAGACCGTCATGGAGCTACCTGAAAACCGGAGCTAAACTACGTGCCAACATGGTTATGTTTCCTAACAAAACCTGATCCCCGAATAGCGCAAGACCACGCACCATGTACGCCCTGTATGAGGACGACAGCGACGACCAACACAACGAAGACGACCACGAACACCAGGATGACCGTGACAATCACTAGGGCCACGACGACAAAGAACACTAGGACCAGCACAACACAACCAGGACACCACAACGACCGCCAGGACCGCCCGGACCATCACGACAACCAAAGAGAACCACCCAGGACCGCGAGGACCACCACGACGCCCACGATCACCAGGACCACTGCGACGACAACTGTGATGACCACCAGGGCCACACCACCACCACCAGCACCACGAGACCATGAAGCTGTGGCCGGCAGGATTGGAAGCATTGTAAGCATTTTTCGCAGAAGACTTTAATTCAAAGCGTGAACCACAGCGGAAGCCACAGAACCGCCGTAAAATTCCACTCTACTCTGAATCCAGTACTGGAACCCTCCCCTGTTTTCAACATTTTCGGAGGCTGAATGTCGGCTTGCTAGACTTGGACAGAGCAATCGCTGTGTCCAGTTTCGGAGTTTGAGTATCTACTCCATAAACCACATATGCAGGTGCATACATGGTAAGAAGAGATTTTTGGTTTACTGTCGTTGATGTTTTGAGGTCGTTGCGGGGGCAGCAACCCCCCCCCCCGGCAGACCGCAGCAAACAAGAAAACGCGCTCCCGAATGATTTGAGGGGGGGTTGTTGTTTTTGTTGCTGTCGTTACGGGGACCCGCTTTTTTGCTGTCGTCCCGGGACGTGTTTTTGTTGCTGTCGTTGCAGGGCGTGTTTTTTGGTGTTTTTGTTGCCGTCGTACCCGTGCCGGGGCTCACTCACTCACTGGCTGCCTCGGTCTGCGCACAGACAGCAAAAAACCCTAGTTCCATGTGCATCTATATTATGTATATATATATATATATATCTATATATGTGCAGCATTGTGAAGCTGTATAATTTAGAGAGAAAGAGAGACAGGCTCCTGCGCTAGTCTGTCCTTCGAACTCGGCGGGATTGAAAGGCCATCACCTTCCAAGTGCCCTTCCATCCCCCTGCATGCTGAAGGCTTAGAGTCCAAACGACTCTAAAACGTTCGTGTTATGTACGCATTATGTTTGGTTTATGCTTTCCGAAGGCCCCTCACGTCTAGGTCTCGGGATCTGCCTTCTTGTCGGTCCCCAAGCCCGCTTTCAAACCAGGAAGAATAGGGCACTCCCCATAAACATCATGCGATGCATGTCGGGAGCCCGACCAAGGAAGCTCCCACAGCTGGCACTCAGAAATGTGAACACCGTCGGAGGGATGGCCGCTTCAAGCGTAAATGTCACATCATGAGGTCAAACTTGAAAACCTGGCCCAACCACGAAACGGCCTTCCGCATGAGCTGGTCCAAGGTCAGCACCTGCTCACTGCTTACGGGCGAAAGAACTGTTAGAAGATTCGCCAAAGCTTGAGCCGGAAACACCTAATCGACAGTGCTTCCAGTAGCGTTTCTTCTGGAAGAAGATTCTAACACTGCCAGTCACTTCAGGCACTACGGTGGCAGCTATGAAAGCTACGAACACTTGAGAACAAACGCAGCCATGATGCCACAGTGTTACCTACACTGGGTCTGCTTTTTGCAGCACCTAGGATATGACTACTGACCATGTGAAATACATTTCTGCTACAAGTATATGGAGGTTGGCACTTTCACCCGTGAAATGTTGTACTTGACAGCATCGTCTTCGTTAGCTACGGGATGCTTCCACAACTAATCAGATAGCATTGGCACAGGAAACCACGTCAAGACCAAACAAACACTTCATCAATGGCATGCAGAGGCTTAGGGTCTACGATGTCTTGGTCCAGGTCACGAAATTCCGTCAACACCCGGGATTGCATCATAGATGTAGCAGCTAACACATGGATTTCTGGACGGATTCTGTCCAGCGTTTTTCGTAGAACCAAATTTCGGATTTCCGGCCCTCTTTGAAGTTCAGACTTCCGCAGCTCTCAGCTTCAGACGGGGCGGGGGTAGGCCTCTACGTCATCGTCTTCACCTCATTAAAACGGCTTCATTGCTGCAACTACCACTGTTCAACCCGGCACAAACATCATCATCATCATCATCCCCATCTTCACCATCATCATTATCATGATCATGATCATCCGGTTCATCATCCTCACCCTGATCCTCAACGTCGGCACCATCGTGAAACGCGTGCAACATTCCACCATGCCGGACCCGTCGGAACAGCTATGTGCTTGAAACTGTTGCAAAAACTACTAAGCTGACGCAAAAACGGGACGAACCCTAAACCCTGACTGATCGTAAAAATCGAAAAATTTGGCACGTGCCCTCTAGTGTTTCTTCCGGATACCAACTTCCCAGCGACAACACAACATTCTGACATATGCGATAGCTCGAGAAAATCTAACGAAAGGACTCGTGGCACAACCACCGTCTAAATGAAACATCGACGAAAGGAATATGTTGTGCACGCAACAATGAACCACATCGCTTGCCTGCGGCTTCGGCGAACAGCGACATGTTGATGCTTCCGGTGCCTGCGTTGCAGAAAGAGTCGCAGCCGGCGGGAACGGCTCCGAATGCTGCGCAGTGGGCTCACACCTTTTTCTTATTCCACAGGTACTGGCCAGCGGTCCCAGAAGCTGTCGGGCGCCTGTCAGGAAGAGTCGGAGCCGCTGCTCGGGATAATCAGGGGCAACATCCCCTAGGCCCTGGGCTGCAAAACCTAAAGTTCTGGTGCGGCTCTCGGAACTGACACCTTGCAGCCTCTTCGCTATATGTCCCACTGACAAAATTTCAGTCTGAGCAACATGTGGAGTCGCTTGTGCTTCCGATCGGGTGCCTCTGACGACACGACTGCGGCGTGCAGCAAGTGCACACCGGGCGGAGCTGTGTGCGCCTGGGGTTTCAATCTTTTGCAAGCCTTCTGTACGAGGCCTCGGGCTTCTGTAGAGCCTAAGAGCTTCCTGGGCCCCAGAAGAGTTCCGGCACTCGTCCAGCTGAAAAGCCAGGGAGTCCGATTGCAATGTTTTGGGGTTCCGACAGAACCAGCCACTTTACTGAACGCAGCCATGGTCTGCCATCGGGAATGAGCATGTGGGGGTTTCCGAAACTAGGGGACCCTAATATAGTACCCTAATTAATAGGATCCCTATTAAAAGGACCCCCAAATAAGGTACCCTAATTTTCTGAAACTCCCATGTGTTGAATACTAGTCTCGGCCATGGCTCAGCGACGATAGACTTGCGAGTCTTGTCCTGCAGCCGGATAACATTCTCACCTTGGCAATTGATAGCAAGATGCTCACTCTCGCCTGGTGTACTTCGGATCGAAAAATCCTGGACTCAAGTGAATGCCGGGATAGCATGCTAATCCAGTTTGCGTATTGTGAACCCAGTCCTCAGTAAAACTCATGACAAAGCAAGGCCGTACAGCTGCTTCAGGGAGCACACGTGCCGTTACAGCAAAACCTCATTGAGACAGGTACTCCGTGTGCAGCGCATCTTTTCAAGGTGATGGAAGTTGCTTACCCGGACAACTGTGCAAAGCTACCGATATTCGTGCTCTTACGCACTAACAGTGACTAACACTGCTTGCAGCATCTTGCAGATATTGATTTGGCAAACGGTGGACAAGGAAAATTAATCTGAGCACCCCAAGAAGCGATAAGAGACAACAATGCCGGCATGTCATCCAGTCCGATGTTTTGAACAGCTAAGTGAACTAGTTAATTAGCGAGCAGCTGGTTCAGTGGAATGTGGCTCTACAGCTTCACGGTGCAGGGAGGGGAAGGCTTTGGTTAGCGAGCAACGAACACGCAGCAGCTTTTAAACTGCGAGGATCTCCTGCCAGCGTGGAATGGCGAAAGCGAGTGGCCACTCACTCGCCCCTTTGTCTTTCAGACATCATCTGACCGAACTATGAAAGGCCTAACCGAAGGTTCACATGATTTTGCATTTCGAGGGTGGCCAACTCAAACGAAACAATAAGTAAGCGGAAGCCTACTAGCTGGCTCATCTCATTTTGGGTTTCGGTGAAACATCAAGCGTCTCTTGACAAACATGGAAAACCGTACATCCAAATATGCCTAATTAGACAGGATCCTTCTTCCTCAAAGGCAGTTGCCGCTTGGCAAAAAGCCCCAAACCTACGCTCTAAACTTTGGACCCACATTTCTGGAACAAGGATTCTGCCTCCAGACCTTCGTCCTTCGGAGTGTTCTGGATGGAAAGCATGAGCGCTTTATCCGCACCTTGCGTGTGGAACCGACAAGAACGAGGTAAAGCTTGTGCCTTGCTGCTACGAAATTCACAGCGGCCTTCCCTGCCCGAGTTCGAGAATGATAACTCCTCAATGCGCTTTGAAAGCCTAAGATATCGAGAAGGCCGGACTAGCATAAGCTTTGCTTGAAGACCTTAAAACCGCATCGAAAAAGGGAAACTTTAGTTCCGCTTCACACGCTGACTTTCCGATCTTCTGGATGCCGTTCGGAGGCACCTGGGCATGCGTTTGGCTCATTATAGAAATCGGAACACCGTTGCACTTGAAACTTCGGGATTTGCTGGCGACAGGAGACTGCTGGTGTCAGCCTCTAGGCCCAAAGCACACGATGACGCATCGTCGGCTCAATAGGGGAACTCACATGACTAGCTCTTCGGGACCGGCTCTCGATGTGTTCTTTCGTTGGGGCCATCCGCTACCGAGGCCATGCAAACATGGAAGCAAGACCTCCCACGGCAAGAAAAGGCTAAGGATATGCTCTCTCAGGAATCTCCCGCGATCAATCACAACCTCTGATCGGGATGTCTCTGTGCGCGGGAGCACTACCATGATACCTAGTGTTGCTTTTATTGCTGATTAGCATTGCCCCCTGCAGTTTTGGGACCCTCACTTCCCAGATCGAGCTACGTCTCTTGTCACGCTTGAGTCCGTTGCTGCATGCATCTGATAGTTGAGCTGCAGCGTTACTCCACTTGTACCGAAAGGGTGGGTCGACGATTTGCAGAGGCATCAATCTAAGGTCATTGCCCTTCTGCATCCTCTACTCTTGAGAGGTTGTTTTGAAACACCTACAACGATGACCAATGACACTCGCTAGTTCTGACTGTCGTGTTCTTGCAATCTTCCCATGTATGGTCCTCCAAGCCACCGTAATTTGCTTTCATTTCCGTGATCGTCTGCAGTCTGGGTGGAGTCTCGTCCCGTTGCTTTGAAATTTTGCCCTCCACGCCCCACTTCTCCTTCGTGGCTGCAGGCAGGCACAACATGTTGCGTCTAGTTTCAGCTGCAGCAGGAGTAGTGTGTAGTAGTAACTGTGGCTGTACCTGTAGCAGTAGCGGCAGTGCAACAGTGATAGTAAATAGTAGCAGCAGCAGTAGTAGTAGAAGCAGCAACAGCAGCAATAGTAGTAGTAGTAGTAGTAGTAGTAGTAGTAGTAGTAGGAGTAGTAGTAGTAGTAGCAGCAGTAGTAGTAGTAGCAGCAGTAGTAGTAGAAAGTAGTAGTAGTAGTAGTAGTAGACCCACGTCCTTTATTTGACGCTGCATGTTTTTGAAGGTGGTGTAAATGGAGTCCGCAACAAGAAACACAGCGTCAAATA